GGCACCATTAACGAGTTATTAACGAAAAACAGTGACCAATGAAAGGCGAGCACAGCTGGCGCGAGGCGATCGAGCCAATGAGCGGAACTGGGCTTCGTGCGCTGGTTGGCTGGGCCGCCTCGCGTCAATCATACTCGATTCTTATTGGTCACTGTTTTTCGTTAATAACTCGTTAACGGTGCCTCGGAGAAAATTTTTGTAAAGGAAGAAGTTGCTTCAAATAACCTGAGGAACCCGCCACTTTCGGATTGCGAGACATTTTTGGGACGCCCTGTATATATTAGGTCTACCGGAAAGTTCTGTCTGATAATGTCATTGCAAATTTCAATAGATGTGCACATATTCATTTGAGACATATATTTTTGAAAAATGTTGCTCACAAATTGCCATCACGCTGGCAAGAGGTCATAAGTAACGACGGAAATTATATTGTACAATAAATATTACTAAATTTATGAAAAATCTATTATTTCCTTTCATTTCTCAAACGGACAGAACTTTCCGGTAGACCTAATATTATCATTAACATACTGGTAACTATTCTGGACCTCGATATCATAGCAATTGTGGCATTGAATATTAATTTATATATATATATATATATATATATATATATATATATATATATATTAATTTAAATAAAGGTAAAAACGCGACACAAACGTGTAAGAAGATCTGTAAGGTATACGCGGAGAATGTAATCAAAGAACGCGTGTGGCGAAAGTGGTTTGCAAGATTTCGTTCTGGGAATTTTTCGCTTCAGGATTCGGCACGCTCTAGTAAGCCGTCAAAGATTGACAATGGCAATGTCTAATTGATAACAATCCTCGTTGCACAACGCGAGAACTCGCACCGGTTATCCTAAACCTCGAAGACCAACTTCAAGAATCGCTGAAAACCGCACGAACTTTCTGGCGAACCTAATATTTTACAAATACATATACTAAGACAGTAGTGTCGATTTGAGTTCACTTGCAGATCGATCTCTCTCACTAGTAATGAGAACTTTCTCGACAAAGTTGCACGTCGAGAATAATACATCGAATTAATGAATTATCAGTGCGACCAATGTCTCCACTTTTCACTAATCGACAGCGTTAATTTGTAATAAATAGTAATGTAATAATCAATTACATTTACTTATTTACTTTAACTAATTCAGTTGTTCAATCCAAACTACCTAGTATCCTCATGACAGCGTAGTATGAATTCAGCACTTAGATGGGTGATTCAGCACAAATGGGTGTTACCATTTTTAAACCTTCAAAAAAATCTATCTTCTTAAATGTTCTAAATGTTGTATTCGTAAAAATACAGAAGTTATGGGATAAGGATCCCGGTTACCGACACGTTAAGTATACATTTTCGTTTATCCATATATTTTCAACTGAAATACACGTAAAATTAACTTTTCCTTGCATTTCATATTGTTTAGTTCTCAAGTTACACAACTAAAGATTTTCAGAACGTTGAAGGCTTCAATTTAATATGAAATTAATGCGGAATAAAAATAATGTAAATGCCCAAATTAACGATGATTCGAAAAGCTACTTGTACCAATTATGGAGACCTAAATATCGATAAGTCTCAAATATTTCTAATTTAGTTTTCATGCATTTTTGAATATATTTATAATAAGTTATCTTTCTGATAATCTATAATCTCGGTAATTGGTACACTTACCCTGAATGTTCAAAATCGAATCGTAAACATAAACAAATTCACGTTACAGTGTACCTTGCGAGATGTTTTACGATTATTCCTGAGCTCTGTTTTATAAATATTTCAAACAATTTCCTTCTCACTTCCTTCACTCTTAGCTGTGAACGTGTGTACACGTCATAAGGAAACGGCAATTCAACATCTTAAAACAAAAATACTTCTCCTACGATTTAGGTTAACAACTTGTCGAAAGGAATTACAGCCAGTGTAATCGATGGAAACGCATACAAAATTAAGCTTAAACATAGATCGACACAGCTAAGTGATTAAACATAAATAAAATCGTTTAGAGCGTTTTTAAGAGGTTTATTATTATCGTATTCAAACAGAACTTGTTAAAGACGCGTTAGTATTCAAATATTAGAAAGCAAGGAAACAAAAATAAAACACGAAAATGAGAGAGATAAAATAAATATTCCATAGAAATGACACGATGATGTAGATAACAACGATAAATAAATTGATATAGAAACGCAGACTGGAATGAGACGACGCCTTTTTCGAAATGACATGGGGAACAATAAATTACAACCCTGAATTTGATAATTGACTATAAAGTGTTTATTTCTTTCTGTCAATAGCTGTGGCAATTGCTCCTCTCGCGAGCCGTAACACGTGCATAATTTGTTTACATCTGCTGACTCGACTCGGTGAACGGACTTTAGATACTTTCGTATAACTGAGAAGAGAGAGTTTTTTGAAACGGTTCAAACGATATCTTAACTTTCAAATAATCAATATTAGGTTAAAAAATATTATAAAATATACGTTATCATTTAACATATGACGCTTTTCCTCATCTTTTTAACATATTGAAGACAAAAAAGGATTGTTAAAATAATAATTTCAATATAAAATATTGTGTCACATGGTAAAAATAAATAAATAAATAAATAAAATAAATAATCAAGATCATTATTTTATTTTGGTTCAAACTACAGCCAGACATATACAAAATAAGAAGATTTCTCATTTTGTTGTCATAGATTGTTTGAATTAGAAATTATAGCAACAGTCAACACGATTTTTGTAACATCAATTTTGTAATACAACATAAAAATTCATTATGTACTTTTAAAAAATCCATAATTGTATAAACCAAAGCCTAATGCAAAAAGCTATAATAATTTCATTTCAATTCGTACTGTTACGTTTACCTTGATATTACGAAAATTACACTATTTCCAAGAAAGTGAATCCGTCATCACCTCCCAACCTTAAAACTCTACAACTTTTGTATTTAACACTTTTTAAATAGATGCGCGATTTAAAAGATATATAGGGCGTGGAAGTTAAACGATATTCGGCCTGTAACATATAAAACGAAACTAGTCTACAGTTGAACTGTATTATTATTTTCTGCTATTGGGTTGGCAACTTCGTGAGCCACTGTAAAATTTATACTTTGACATCGAATTTCTGAAGGAATTACAACAAATTCTCCCCAATTGTGTCCTCCAGCTTGTAAACAAAAATGGATAATTTGGGAAGAGGCTCGCGGCTCATTTTTATAGTTGCAGGTTGTCAACAATTATAAAAACGAGGCACAAGGCTCGAATAATATTGAGTTGGCAACTAAGTAATTGCCGATTTCAGTTATAGATGTCTCTCACTCCCATTTTTATGATATCCGTAAATGTTATATTATAAAATTATTATTATTATTATTATTATTATTATTATTATGTTATTTTTTATTATCCGTGAATGTTAGCAACTGGACAAATTGAATGCAGCGGTCAAGGAAAAGCGATCAGAATTGGTCAATCGTAAAGGTGTCATTTTCCAGCAGGACAATGCTAGGCCGCACACGTCTTTGTCCACTCGGCAAAAATTCATGGATATTGGTNGTCGTAAAGGTGTCATTTTCCACCAGAACAATGCTCGACCGCACACGTCTTTGTCCACTCGGAAAAAATTGATGGATATTGGTTGGGAATTGATGTTACACCCACCATATTGCCCTGATCTCGCACCATCGGATTACCACTTATTTCGATCCCTGGACAACTCCCTTCGTGGTGAAACTTTGAATGATGATGACGCTGTAAAATCTCACTTAACTCAGTTTTTGGCCGAAAAGGATCAAACTTTCTACGAGCGTGGAATTTTCAAGTTGTCAGAGAGATGGCAAAAGGTCATCGAACAAAATGGAAAACACATTACAGATTAAACTTCGTTCCAAGAAAAAAAAATTTTTTATTTCATTGAACAAATCGGCAATTACTTAGTTGCCAACCCAATATTTCTGTATTTTCGTTAATGTTGAAAGCATAATTATTCGTTAAAAAATGATTCCTGAAAATTGTTTCGAAATGGCATTCGAAACCAGAAGACACCGTCAAAGGTTTCGAAGTTTCTATCCGAAACGTTTGCATCGAACTGTCGTAAAGTTTCTTATCGACGTCGCGAATGAAAAGAGTCGCGTGATTCAAACAGAAGTTGCGGAGTACGTACAGGGACATAAATGATACGATCTTTGACTTTTAGGATCTTTACTCACATTTGCGACTGTGGCTTGGCATCGGATTTCTTTCTCTTCTTGGTGATGCTGCCAGTGATCGCACTCATTTTGACCCGCAGCGGGTCCTGTAGTTCACACGGGCTAGGCCTGCAACAATTTCAGAAAGTCATTATTAGAGAAATTGTTCTTCTCGAATTGCCAAATGTACGTACGGACCGTTGAAAACAGAAATGGTGTAAGTCAATGTAAGTCAAAAACATTAATTTGTGGACAATAAAGGATAAATTAAAAGTTCTGTAAAATGCAATAACATGACAAATTGTTGCAACTCTTTTATGCAAGTAACTTTCAAGTTTTAACGTAAAATAATTTTAAAAAAGTCTGATAAAATATTAAATTAGATACGATTTAATAATATTAAATCAACCTAGCAAAAAATTGACTTACACTACTTTTGCTTTAAATGACTTATATATGTATACAGTTCAATATTTATATCGAAACCATCGGCATTTCTTTTTACATTTTCTCTCTTTAATCCTTTATGATTCAAAATGTAGCCCCCAGTTTAAAGAACTACAATCTAATTTTTCCTCCCATATTTTTCTATATAGAATTTTCTACTGTACTTGATTCATTAATTTTTATTCGTTATATTGTTACGATGTTCTGTAATATATTTGTTTATTAACTGACATAACAATTTTGAACTGAATGATTTATTTATTGACCCTGACCTAATCATTATATCGATTTGGAAGTCAACTTCTCTTAGATTCTTTTCAAATCGCAAGGAAAGGTAACTTTGTTAATGCTACGATTTCACACGCGCCATAACAATATTTAACACGTTAAGTGTTATCGAATATTAACTTCAAAAGTTCCAACAACATTTAAATCGTTTAATTAATGAAACCGTAACTACGAAGTTAAAATTTACATTGCAAAATATTAGTTGAACTCTTTTGTTTTCGAGAAATCGTAATAACAAATTTTTGATAGAAATTTAAATTGTAATAGATTTTTAATAAAATTTTAAATTCACCACTATTTAATTTAAATATCTAAATCAAACTTTCATTTTAATATTAAATTTAAATTTAACAAATTTAAAAACTTAAAAT